TTAAACAAACATTCTTCTTTATCCGCCGTCAACCACCATTCTCCCGCCCAAACTCAAAAATGACACCAAACCCTTCAACACTCCCTCAGACTCTCTCTCACCCTATCTAAACTCCTCCTCCTCCTGAGCCTCTTATACCTCGTGACTCCACCCCTCCAGCACTCCCATTGGTGTATGCAAACAGCATATGAATATCCATGACCTGGGCGAAGCCACGATTTTGCTTGAACAAAATACAGTGGTGCCTCGCTTAACGAGCGCACCGTTTAATGCCGAATCCGCATAGCGATGCGTTTTTCCGATCGCTAATGCGATCACATTGCGATGTTTTAGGTGATAAAACATCGCATTGCGATGATCGGTAACAGCTGATTGGCGGTTCCAAAATGGCCGCCGGATCAACAAAATGGCCGCCCGCAGTGTTTTTGGGCCGATTCCTCGCTTACCGAGGCGGTGAAAATGGCGGTCCTATGGAGGATTCCCGCTTAGCGGTGAGTTTTTCCCCAATAGGAACGCATTAAACTGAGTTTAATGCGTTCCTATGGGTTCCCCCCCCCGCATAGCGATGAATCCGGAAAGCGACGTTAATCCTGGAACGGATTAACGTCGCTATGTGGGGCACCACTGTATTTTTTAATCTTATGTCAGCCAGACAGCTCTGTTACACATCCTGTCTCAGTTATGAACAAAGTAGCTCATGTTCCTAAAGCGGTATAACAAGTGTAAGTTTGATAGGAAATAAATTGTAAATGTTTTGCTTCTCCTTCCCCAAAATGTACATTTTTGCTCAGTTCCCCCATTTCCACGTTTTCCCAAAATTTCTTATACCTTTCCATCTCTACTTGCAATGTCAGCTTGCCTTGGGTAGCTCAGCCTCTTAACACTGACTGGTGTGCATGCCCACCGTATTCTCTTAACTCCTTTTTTGCATATATAAGCATATACTGCCAGGGCTTTGATGGCGCTGCGGCCCCTTCTTCCTGCTAAATGCAATCATTCGGGGGTTTTATAATTTCCAGAAATGTTGACGCCACAGCGGGGAGGGAAAAAAAATCATGTGTTTTCCACCCAGGAAGAAATGGACATTTAGTAGGATGTTGGAGGACATATGCAAAATGTCAGCTTCTTTACCAATCTAACGTCAGCTGGTTGCCTGGTGAATAACAGCAACAGAAATCGTTCAGCTTGTAGATCAAGTGTCAGTCATTGGAAACCCACCAGCAAAGATGACACTGGATCTTTCTCTTGCAAATCTGCCTGCAGCTCCTTCTTTCCTCTTGCACTGGAAAGCGGCTTTGAACGACGTGTCTGCAGTGTGCAGGAACTGGAATGAGCTGGTGCTGTTCGCTGGGTTACATAAACCCTCTTTTTCTGGCCGAGTGTTTAAAATCATTTTGGGAACAATAAAAGCTGGCTAGCGGCAGAGGGACACCCAGTGTTAAAATGTTTTGTTCGATAAAGAAAAAGCTTCACCATCTAAATGTTTCCATTTAGTCGGGGAGGGAATCTTCTGAAAAGTGGAAACGCTTGCGATCTTGAATGCCCTCCCATACTTCTTTAGGGAGCACTGTATGCCCTTCGCCCTTGGGTGTTCCCAGACTTTCAGGGAGGCTGTAAGGAATGTTCCTAAACATTCTGTATTGTCTCAGCAAAAGGAGGCAGTGGTGAAGGACAACCCAAGTCATTCACATAAAAGCAGAGCCTTTAGAGCTAATAACTTCACAAGTCTCAAGTAGTGCAGAATGTGTTAGCTTCCTTCCTTCCTTCCTTCCTTTCTTCCTTCCTTCCTTCCTTCCTTCCTTTCTTTCTTTCTTTCTGTCTGTCTGTCTGTCTGTCTGTCTGTCTGTCTGTCTGTCTGTCTGTCTGTCTGTCTTCCTTCCTTCCTTCCTTCCTTCCTTCCTTCCTTCCTTCCTTCCTTTTTCTCAGTGGAGTAAGTCATACTAGAGTAGGCCCATTGAATCAGTGAGGATTCTGTGAGTCGCTGCAGGAGTAAGCCCATTTGAATCAATGGAACTTATAGTGCAGTTGACTCACCAAATCTTCACTGATTCAGTGGGATTCCTCTACTGAAACTGACAGCAATATGCAACAGCATTTCAGTCTCTCTCTGTTTGCACAACGGATTTGGTAGCAGATTGATTGATTAAAATGTCAAGATGACGAGCCAATCAATAGCAGAATATTAAACTGCATTTATAAAGGCTTGTGTAAAACACACACGTACATGCAGATGAAATGCCTGCATTTGTGAATCTTGAAAAGAATTTGAAATCTCCCCATCTCAGCTTTGCAGTATTGTGTACGTGTGGGGTTGGACTGAACAAAGTAAGTTAAGAATTCCTGTTCGCTATGGTAAATAAGGTAAATAAGGTTTTGGCTGTGGGAATCATGAATTGATGTTCCCCCTGGGAGTAAGCATGTATGAATTCTCATGGTTTATTCTTGAGCACCTCAAGGCTTCTGGGTGAAAAAAAATTGGAAAATTTGCTTTTGGGGGGGCTAAACCTCCATGTATGAATTCTCATGGTTTATTCTTGAACACCTCAAGGCTTCTGGGTGAAAAAAATTGGAAAATTTCCTTTTGAGGGGCTAAACCTCCCAGAATTATCCACCCACGTTCCCAAGTTCAGCTTGCGTTAGGATTGGAACAGAGTAAAGTATGATTTGCCTCTTAGACATTTCATAAATTCATAGAATCTTCCAACTAGAGTTGGAAGGCGATCGTGTCCAACCCCTCTGATCAAGGCAGGAATCCAAATCAAAGCAGATCTGATAGACGGTGGTCCAGTCTTGTCTTGAATGCCTCCAGTATTGGAGCGCTCAACACCTCCCAAGGTAATGGGTTCAAGTGGCTCTATGGCTTGAAGAGCGGGATGAGCGCCGCCCCCTAGAGTCGGACACGACTGGACAAAAATTGTCAAGGGGAACCTTTACCTTTACCTGTTTTTTACCTAAACCTCCCAGAATTATCCACCCATGTTTCCAAGTTCAGCTTGCGTTAGGATTGGAACAGAGTAAAGTATGATTTGCCTCTTAGACATTTCATAAATTCATAGAATCTTCCAACTAGAGTTGGAAGGCGATCGTGTCCAACCCCTCTGATCAAGGCAGGAATCCAAATCAAAGCAGATCTGATAGACGGTGGTCCAGTCTTGTCTTGAATGCCTCCAGTATTGGAGCGCTCAACACCTCCCAAGGTAATGGGTTCAAGTGTCATACTGCTTGAACAGTTAGGAAGTTTTTCCTGATATTCAGCCTAAACCTGGCTTCCGGTACCTTGAGCCCATGATGACATGTCCTGCACACTCTCCTGCTCCTTCTCTGTATGACTGCCTTTCAAGTCTTGGAAAAGTGCTAACATATCTCCTCTCAGTCTTCTGAGGGGAAGATTTACTGGTTTACTGCTTTAATGCAGGCTTGGTGAGTAAGGAATATTAATGAAGTAAAGACTGGATGACGAACTGCTCCATCAATTTTTTTTTCCTTCCACCCGTGGTGGTGACCGAAGCTACCGTAGAGTTGGCAAATATATTGGGTTGTAAAACTGTCACCGTTATATTGGACTAAGAGATATGGTTCCTTATTTGAAGTGACGTGGAATAAATTCTAGCGTTGAGCATTTGCAATATCCACCCCCTTGCGTATTTCAGTCACCTCATTAACTCTCCATGCTTTTTATGAACCCGTGGGCATCCACAATGCAGTGTGCGTTGGGAGGTATAAATTTTTGTGGGGTGGATAAAGAGGCGCCGCAAGAAGAACCCCTTTTTGACGGGGTTTCCCAGCAGTTGGGCGCGTCGTTCTGTCACATCCGTTCAGCAAGGCTGTGAATGGTTCGGCAACTCCCAGGTGGATAAGGGATTGGGGAGAGACGCTGGACAAATATTTGCTTGTCGATGCAAAATGCTAATCACTTCCTTTTGAAAAAACCCTGACTTGGCTTATTTCTCAAAATTGCCCTCTGCTGGTTTTAAATGCAGATCAAGGTTAGCTGGGAAAGTCGCCTCCCCAAAGCCCAAAGCAGATACATGGGATGCATAGAGTTATAATTACTCACACTACACACTTAGAGTCTCAT